AGACAGTTTGAACAAGGCTTCCTTGCAATGGCATCCTAAATAAGATGCCTTTTGTGTGGTGTTTTACCAACACATAGGGAGGGGAGCGGTGAGCATTTGCAATTAGAGAAAACATTGCACTGAAAGAATCTTGGTGCACTCTTCTGTAAAGTCACCAAAGAATACCTCCTTTTGTAGTGTTTCATTGCAGGGAAAAGCGAAGTTGCAAATGAACTTGCAGGAGTGAAACGCTCCACTTTCAAAGTGAATTTGGAATTTGGAAAAATTCTCCTAGTTAAACCAGAGGGATGGTCTTGGAAGACACTGGGCAAAGCAAACTGGGGAACAATCCAGAAATGGAAAGGGAGAAATTGTTTTGTGCCAGGCAGAACTCCTTAGAGGAAGGGTGGGCTGCAAGGATAATAAACAATCATGTACAGGAAGCCCGAATCTCCACAGAGGTTGGGGGTCAAGGAAAAGGATGGTGCCAATGAGGAAATTTACCAGCAAGAGCAAGGAGAACGGATTGCCTGTGTGTGGCACATGTGACTCAGCTGCCCATGGTTTTGGGAAGCCGGTGTGTTCAGTGTTCCTGTGAAACAATGGGGATTATGAATGACTCAAGTGAGAGTGGCTATTTTCAGTAGGCATTGTTGTCAATGGATGAAGCAGGTGATGTGGTCCCCAAACTGCCATTTCCTCCGACTGAGAATTTTCCCTGTTTCGCTGATTGCCAACTTGGCCGTGATCATGTATCAGCAGGAGACTGTGCCACTGCTTCTGCATTGTGCCTTTTGAGCTTTCTTGTACAGGGGCCGGCCCTAACAAGAGGCAATATGAAGCAGAGGCCTCTAGCAGCAGAATTTGGCTGTTATTACAGGCTGGAGTTTTGTATTTTATTCTATTTATTGAGGCTCAAACAGTATACGTATCTGAGAGAGCAATGAGAGAGGTGCAAGAGAAAGTATATTTTCATGGAACATTGCCACGGGGGGGGGGCTGTTTGCAGGATGGGAGAGGGCATAGGATGATGGGGTCTGAGGTTAGGTATAGGATTCCCAGGTCAGGAGCATCCCAAAGATTTCAGAGCCTAAACCTGAGACCTACAAGTGGCCTTTGGTGATGTCACAGGCGTAGGTCCCATTGATGTCATTAATCACAACACATCAAGCATTAACCACCATCAGGAACCTCAGAGTGGCTTTGCAATAATTTGCAAGCTGCAGGCATCATCATCCTCACCACCACCAATAATTGTAAGGTTATCTCCCCCCCTTCAGATTCAAACACTCCCCCTACCAACTAGGGGAGGGGCAAGGAAACCTGGAGTCTTCAGGTGAGCCATGGGAGTGGTCTCACAGCCTTAGTTAGGAGAGATGGGGAAAGGGGCCTTGGGATAAGGAATGAACAGAGGGAATGACAAGTGACAAAGGTGGTGTTGATGATGGGGTCAGGAGGGGAGCTTCCTTCCACCCTCAGTCTGATCACTTTGTCTTGGAACATGCATAGAGGTTCTTCAACTGGCTTCTAGTTTATGACGCAGGTGGCGCTGTGGGTTAAACCACAGAGCCTAGGACTTGCTGATCAGAAGGTCGGCAGTTCGAATCCATGCAACGGGGTGAGCTCCCGTTGCTCGGTCCCTGCTCCTGCCAACCTAGCAGTTCGAAAGCACCTCAAAGTATAAGTAGATAAATAGGGACCACTCTGGCAGGAAGGTAAACGGTGTTTCCGTGCGCTGCTCTGGTTTGCCAAAAGCAGCTTAGTCATGCTGGCCACATGACCCGGAAGCTGTACGCCGGCTCCCTTGGCCAATAAAGAGAGATGAGCGCCGCAACCCCAGAGTCGGTCACGACTGGACCTAATGGTCAGGGGTCCCTTTACCTTTACCTAATACTCCTTTTAAGATCTTCCATAGATGCTGCTGCAACCATTCTTGCTAAACATAATGAATCAAGATGTTTAAACAAGCTTGGGGGTGGTGGTTAACGAACAGAAAGGCCGCACAACAAGTTACTTTGAATAGTGTGCTTTGTCACATCATTTGCGCTCCATTTGGTCTGGGGGGAGGTCCAGCTCCCACTAGAAAGGGTTGCCAGGGGGAATATTCTGCCTCAGGCATCAAAATGCCTTGGGGCGGCCATGGTTCTCACTTCTCTGCCCCTTCCTAAAATTCTCTATGTGCGTGCATATCTTCAGAAAGCCTTATCTCGCCCCCCTCTCTCTCCCAGAGTCAAACTTGTTGCTGCAATTCCTCTGGGTGGAGCAAATTTTGCAAATGCAATCTGTTTATCATAAAAAGCAGAACCTCTTCTACTGCTCTTCCATTCCAAGGTCAGAGTAACCCCAAAGGTTTGTGCTGCTGTTACCCAGGCCAAGCTCGGGTGGCCATATTTGTCTGGCCAGCTTTCTTATTCTGCTGTTTTATTTCACTTGAATAGTTCAGCAAACTGGAGGCAAAACACAGCAAGGAGAGGCCACTGCTGGCAGCTATAAACCTTTCTATTTAAACAATTTTTAAAATAAAAAATATGATGTTCCTGTTTAGGGAAGTTTTTAATGTTTAATGCTGTACTGTGTTTTTAATATTTGGTTGGGAGCCGCCCAGAGTGGCTGGGGAAACCCAGCCAGATGGGCAGGGTATAAATTACTATTACTATTATTGTTATTATTATATACCTACAGCACCATAATTTGATTACTTTGCACATTAGGCCTTCAGGCATCTCAAAAATGGGAATGGATGCCGTGAAAGTCAAATGGGCTGTCGATAGACTAGGGAGCGATGATCTGTAAATTTCACTTTTCTCTTCCTTTTTTTTAAAAAATATTAAATTCAGTTCTCCACTATTCTGCAGCAATTTTCCATCGGTTTTAAAATCCCCATGAAAACTCACCAGCATTTTAGAACTGATTTCATCAAATCAGCACATTTTTAATGCAATTTTGAATAATAAACACATTTTTGCAAGGGTTTTCCCCTAATATGATGCAGCTTTGTATATTATTTTCACTGATATATACATTTCTATGTACACTTTCCCCTAATATATTTATTTTGGTGCATACTGGTTGCAGAACTGCATTGCATTTTTTAAAAAATAAAAATTTCAAAGGGCAGCTGTTTTTTTAGTTCTCACATTGCTTCAAGAAGTGCAAATTTAGTCATTTCTTGTTGACATGCAGGCTTGCAATTGATTAGACATGACACAAAAGGAAAAGGGGACTGAGGAGGGAAGAGGAAAGCAAGCAGAGGAGCAGCTACTCCTTCACTGGTCAATGGATGAAGCCAGGCTGATCTCCCCCTTGCCATGATTTCCACATGGCACAACCAGATGCAGAGAATTTCAGTGCACTTATTCTAAATTTCACACCAAAAAATAAAACATTGGCCCAAGTAACCCCATGCTACAGAATATATTCAGATTTATCCCCTTGCAGTGCCTCATACCTTCCAGCTGTGTTCTCATCCATGACAGGAAACCTCCCTGTAAGTATCAAAGAGTTGTCACTGAAAGTTTGCATAACACGAATTTCAAAGCAAAATGTGAAAATTTAGATTGCAATCGTATATGTATTGGATTTTTTTTTAAAAAATAAAATTATTAATACTGATTACATTTACCATTTATGAAAGAAAAAGTATTATAGTGACTTGACAAGGTAAAATGCAAGAAACTGAAGCAATTTAAAATCAGGAAAAAAAGTTCATTCAGTAAAACAGACTATGAATAAGGACAAATCACCACTAAAATATGAGCCTCATGGAAGGAGGAAGTTTAAGGAAGTGCACTGTAAGGGAAGCATGTGAGGAACTTCAAGGGTAGTTGAAAGGGTTTCCACTTGCCTGGTGAAATTTCCTGGGTGGGTAGAGAAGGACTGTCCACAAAGTCTCAGGTTGTCAATGGTTTTTGCATCAAGTGAATCACTGACACAAATATGGAATAACTGAAGCGAAAAGTGTTCCAAAATCAACCCCATTACTTTCCTCAGGGGGAGTTTTGCATTTCCTCAGTGGGGGAGCATCAGCTTCACATGCAGAAGGCCCCAGGTTCCTGCATCTCCTGGTAGGGCTGTGAGAGACGCCCTTTCTGAAACCCTGCAGAGATGCTGCTGGTCAGTGTAGTAGACAATAGTGGCAGCTTACAAGGCAGCTTACTCCATGACCTGGAAAAACCTGACGTTGGGCAAGAAAGATGACCTCTTCTTGGCCTGCACAAGACTTGGCCTTGAAGCAGCCAAGAAAGCTATTAATGGTTGGCGATTGTGGTGGTGTTTGAAGGGGGAATGTCACAACAGGATCTGGCCTGAATCCCACCCATCCGTCCAATGTAACCCCTGCTGAGCTGTAAGGAGGAGAAAACACTTCAAGTTGAAATGGGAAGCAAACTGGGCCCAATTCATAGGAGTCACCAAGACGCTGAGTGCCCCCAGCTCCCCCTCAACTCTCATTTCCTATTCTCATTCATTACTGGTCACTCTGGAATGTTTAAGTAATTTGACCGTGGTCTTTTGGACAATGCTAGAAGCTGCAAAGGTTGTTTCCGAGGACCAGTCTTTAAACATCTTCTTTCTCACTCTTGGGGACTCCACCCTTGTCTTGTAATATGAATATGTATGTGTGTGTTTTAAATGATATCGTGTTGATGTATTTTTCCTAAGCCTGATGATGTTGTGTTGATTTTTTTTGTTTATTGCTGATTTTAAGTATTCAGCATGTTTTAAATACAGTGTACCCCCCGGATACGAATTATATTCATTCCGGGGGTCCGTCCGCAACCTGAAAAGTCTGTAGGCAGAGGCGCCACTTCTGCGCATGTGCATGGTGCTATTGAGTGCTTCTGCGCACGAGCACGCGGCAAAACCCAGAAGTATACACGTTCATAACCTGAAAGTTTCATATACAGAGCGGTACGTAACTAGAGGGTCCACTGTAGTTGTTTTAACTGTTTTTACCAATAATTTCATTGTTTTATTTTTTTATGTAAACCTCTTTGAAGTTTTTATTACAATCAAGTGGTCTATGGATAGCTCAGCTGATAAAGCATGAGACTCTTAATCTCAGGGTTGTGGGTTTGAGTCCCATGTAGGGTGAAAAGATTCCTGCATTGCAGGGGGTTAGACTAGATGATCCTCATGGTACCGTCCAACTCTACAGTTCTATGATCCTGTGATCCTGTTGGTGTACTGTTGGCATCTGCCTGTCTCAGGAGACAATGGAGGAATGTGCCTTTGGGGCTGAAAACAAACTGTTGAAAGGTTACCTTCTATATGCAAAACACGTGCTCTACTACTAAACCACCTGGTTTGTTGACCAGGATTTGATCAACAAGTGACTGTTGTCATGAGAAGAGATTATTACATGCTTCCAAAGTTTATGTCTGAATCTCCGCATATTGGGGGAATCAAAGGACTGGAGAAAAGCAAACAGCTGTGAAAGATTATAACTCTTTTAGCTAGGTAAATCTTCCTGCTGTTGTGGTCAAGGCTGACTGTGGTAGGTTTTTTGATGGACGCCCCCATTGCCATGTGGTTGCCAGGGGTTTCCATTTAGTGTAATTAACACTGACCTCAGCAGAGAGATGCCGAGCCCTCGAGGCTGTTAAATGCATGTAAAGGCGGCGTGAGAGTAATTTAATTTTGGTTCAGCCATTTATTTTTGAAATGTTTGATATTGGGAGGGGGAAGATAAAGAGAGAGAGTGTAAATGAATTCAGCACTCCCAAGAGGTGCCAGACGGAAGGCTACAAAGAATCAGGGAGGCCTGGAGCATAAATGAGACCTGGAATCTTTGATGGTAGATGGGCATCTGAACCAGCAAGCAGCCAGCTCTGGGGCATAGCGTGGGTTGCCTGTGCCCAGGGCGGGGCAAGGGGACTGGGCAGTAGTCAGTCCTTTCACTGGGACCAGCATCTAATCAAGGGAGTCTCTCCTTCCAAAACAGCTCAAACTTGGGAGCAGAGATAAACAGGGAAACACCAAGCCAGGAGAGCCGTGGTGTTGTCTCAGCTTCCTGTCCTTGCAGCAAGGTGCTTTGGTGATGCATGTGGCTCCAGCAGTGCTTTCCTGCCTTCTTCTTCCTCCCTCTGTCCATGGGGGGGCAATGGCCTCAGCCTCCCTCCCTCTCGGCCAGCCCAGGGGAGGGGCAAACATGGGCATCCCTTCGCTGGCCACAAAGAGAAGAAGGAGGTGGTAGCTCCCCAGCCCCAAAGGCCCGGCCCAGATGCAGCTTGCCTCCCTGCGGTTCTGGTGTCAGTGAGGGAGCCTGTCATGCGAGCACCTGGTTGCTCCACCTCATAAATTTGCACCAGCCCCCCCATGCCACTGAAATAGCCCCCCCATGTTGTCAATTGTTTAGAAAAGAAAAAGATAGGAAGAGGAGGATGAAGTCTTGCTTTTGCACCACCGAGTTAACACAATAGCCCTCTGCTCTGCAGTTGGGATGGCCTAATTGCAACCTAGCCACAGGAATGTATCTATGTATAATAAGTGTGTTTAGTGTCCTGGTTTGTGTTTGTAAGTATTGCATTTATCAACAAAAGTTTTTTTTAAAAAGCCACAGGAAGCCACCTTTTACTCAGTCATACTATTGATGAGTACTGTCTGCATGGACTGAACATATGAAGAGCCTTCTGGATCAGGCCAGTGGCCCACCTAGTTCAGCATCCTATTCTCACAGTGGCCAAGCAGATGGCCTGGTTGACCTCTTACTTGCCCCACTCTCAAGCCCCAGAAACAGCAACCTTTCCTTCTGGGGAGCTGTCCCATCCCTTTCATCATTTGGGTTGACCTTTTCTGAACCTGTTCTGGATACTCGCCTGTTGCCTGGCTGATAGGAAAAGAATTGCAAGGGGAAAGATTGTAGAAAAGCTGGAGCTACCTGCCTCTGAAGGAAATAGGGAGGTCATACAATGCTATCTGATTCCTGTAAAAGTGCGTTGACCTCATATCACCTTGCTATGAAGGCTGGCTTATATACAGCTCCAGACACTTACCAGAGATGGATTTCTCTATGGAGAAGCTTTTCACTGCATGTTTGCAGTGCACACGTGAGGGGCTCTGATCGCCCGTTGCCATATGGGAACACCCAACACCTCCCGGAAGTGGCCTGCAGGAATCTCAGCACTGGCATCCCATATCCATCTGGCAACTATCTCAGCAAACGCAAGTGAATGCAGAGAGCAGATAAGACTCAAAGCCACGGTTTCCCACATGGCCTGTGCAACACACAAAGGAACCGGTGATAAAGAGAATAAAGCAAAAATCCAGGCATGATCAACGAGGCAAACAGAAATCTTTCAGACTCCTGTGACAGATACCAGAAGGGCAAAAGGCCAAAACAACCAGAAAAGCAATGGGAGTTTATGATATGGTATGCGTCCAGAAAGCTCAGATCTGGCCACATCTGCACCATAGATGTAAATCACTATTATACCGCTTTAGATATTCAAATGATAGACTGGGAAAGGCTAGAGAAGACAGATCTGAAATTTACGGCATGTACTTTACTGAAAGAAAATTACATGAAAATGATGTGCCGGTGACACTTGACCCCATTTAAGTTAGCAAAAATATATAGAATATATGTTGGAAATGTAAAGAGACAGAAGGAACCTTTTACCACATGTGGTGGAAATGTAAGGTAGTCAAAACATTCTGGGAAATGATTTATAATGAAATGGGGGGGAAATGCTTAAAGTAACTTTTATTTTAAAAAAACCCAGAAGGTTTTCTGTTAGGAATTATAGGTACAGAGATCCCAAAAGATCAAAGGAAGCTGTTTATGTATGTTGCAACAGCCGCCTGGATGCTTTTAGCCCAGAAACGGAAGGAAGAAGCAGTCCAGACAAAAGAAGAATGGCAAACCAAGTTAATGGACTATGCTGAAATGGCAAAATTAACTGGGAAGCTCAGAAATCAAGATGACAACAAAAAAGAATGGGAAATGTTTATTATGTATTTACAAAATTATTGTAAACCTGTTGAAACATTAGTAGGATTTTAGGAACACTTGTAATTTAAGGAGGATTTATAGATAATATGGATTGTGAAAAACTGGAATAGTATTGATATGCAGTTGAAAATAAAATTTGAAGGACCCAGGGACAAGACGGGGGAAAGTTGTGAGATTCATAGAATCTCAATTTTTTTTATTTGATATGGTTTTGGATGTATATATATATATAATCTTTTTTCTTTTTTCTGTTATTTCTTTTTGAGAAGCAAATAAAAAATATTAAAAACAAAACAAGACGATTATACCACTTTAGAACATAGCCATTGTGGTTGGGAGCCACTGGTAGCCTGATCCACCATATGTTTAAAGCAGTGCCATACCATTATCAACAGCTATGATCCCCCCCCCAAAGAATCTTGGGAATTGTAGTTTGTTAAGCATGCTGAGAATGGCTAGGAGATGCCGATTCCCCTCTCACAGAGCTAAATTTCCCAGAGTTTCTTGAGAAGAGAGATTGATTGTTAAAACACTCTGGAAATTGTACAGACGCAGCCAGGTGTAGAGGTGCTGTCCTGGTCTCCTTTGGGATGAAGGCTGGGATGCAAATCTAATAAATATAAGTCAGTTTTTGGAAATAATGACTGCCATTTAAATAAAAACGCATCTCGCCATGGTGGCAAACACGTCTGTCCCTAGAAACATGCTGGGTCTCCTGCCCAGGTGCTGCTCACCTGGGCAACTTCGAGGCTCCTACCTTTTCTCTCTCTTCCTCACAGGGCTCATTAACCTTAAACTAGACTTGGACACTGGGCAGCCCTTCAGACAGAGGAATGTCCCCTGCAAAGCAGGACACACGACCACCCCATGAAAGGTGAGACCCACCTTTTTAAAACAAAAACCCTCCAAAATCTAAGCTCCAGGAAGAGTGTCTCACATGTAAGGATTTGTAGGCTGTGCTGACCTTGTTGTGGGTGTCAGAAAGTCCAGCTACTTTGGGTTGACTAATTTGCTTTCAACTGGGAGCAGTTAAATGGCCTCAGTGGTGACGCCTGAGACAGCTCGGAATGAGTAATGAGAGGGTGGAGGAAGCTGTTTTACAAGGGAGGAGAGACCCTTCGTGCGTTCAGCGGGCCAAAGGCGCAGGCTTTTCCCGGGGGCTGAAGGGGGCCCAAACTGGGAGGCTTGTTGAGAGGAGGAACATGTAGGTCTGGGGAAAAGGGGATACAGGAGGTTGAGGAAAACTCTGGAGAATCAAGGGAAAGGTTGGGCCATGCCTGTTAAAGCGAGGTCAAACCGATAAAAAGTTTCTGCGAGTCTGAGAAAGTGTGTGTAATTGGTCACCCTCGGGAGCTAGTTTTGGCAGGGCTGCACATGTAATAGCTATCAAGTGCAATTCAGTGGTTTAGCAGATTGGAAAGGACTGGTGCGGTGTTGGGGAAAGTCAAGGAGGCGGGCTGGGTATGTAAGGGAGTCTCCGCACTTTGCACAGTGCCCAAATGCAATCTGTTTCTGCCACTTGAACAGATTTGCCTCTTAGCATCTGCAAAAACACTCGTCTTGTGCTGCGTCATAGTGTTGCAAGCAATAAGAAGCTGGGTGCTTCCATTCCCTGCCAGCCTTCGGTGCTGCATGCAATGAGGTCAAAAAAAATCCCTTGGTTTTCCAGGGTATGGCCAGTGGTGGAGGAAGCCGTTTGGAGGAAGCCATGGGGCGGGGTGCACCACAGGGCCTCTGGAATCTGCCTGCCTCCTCCCACTCAGCCACCCTACAGCTGCGGGGGAGGCAGCGGGTGGACCATTTGGGCAGCGTGGAGCCTACATGCGCCCAAGCCACTGCCTCTCTCCCAGGAGAAACGTGTGGCTCGGGCACACTGCAGGCCCCACAATGAGTGACACCCCCCCTCAGTGGTGACACTCGGGGTGGACCACCCCCACCAGCCCCCCTTCCTCCACCCCTGGGTATGGCAAAGTCAAGGAAAGGCAGATGGAGATGGTGGCGAATGTCTTGGGGAGAACAGGAAGCAGAGACTGTAAGGACACCTATGATGTGTGATCTACAAAGATGCATGAGACTTGGCCTTCCCGCTCTCCTTTTCTGAAGATTCAACAATCTGCCACCTACTCTCTTGCTTTAAAGAAACTT